AGGATCACTGATGCTGAAGCGTATATCAGCTCATTGGTTTCCGTGATCGTTATGGTTGGGATCGTTCTCAGTGCTGCATTCACCCTTTCCATGAGACTTTCAGGTGGTACTTCACATAGCCGTTGTCATCGGTTTCTAGGTTGCCCAGCTTTCATTCTCGCCATGATCTTAGCTTTCAGATCAGTTGCTGCCTCGCTCAGCATTTCATTCATTGGGGCTGGCCTCCCGTTCTCATCATCTGCATTCATTGGGGCTTGCCTTCCAATCTCTGGTATGACCTCCTCCTCTGATCTGGCAGCCTGGGGCCCTTCACCGTGGACCCTGCGTTGTACCTCGTCAATCTCAAGTTGTGACAGCAATTGCCGTTTGTGGATGTTGGAACACTGAGCTACTAGTTGTTTCGTGGTCAACCGTGACTGTGGGTTTCGAAGTAACCATTCAGCCTGCATTCTCTGCATGTAACCCCTCTGACTAGGGTTGCTTGAGTAGTAGCATTCTAACAGAGCCATGTTATCGCATCTCGCCCATCTCCGCTTTGTTCCAGTAGCCCATTTTCTATAGACAATAAATACAGTCTATGTTATATATATATATAGGTGCTTGTCAAAAAATCAGAATATCATGAAAGATTTGTTTCAGTAATACAATTCAAAAACTGAAACTGGTATAATACATACATCCATTCCATACAGGCTGATACATTTCAAATGTTAATTCATTTTAATTTAGATGTGCATGTGTGCATGAAAAGCTTCCAGCTGCAAACACGAGATGACAGCTTTCTGCCGCGGAGTGTTATGCGGCGTTTTGGGTCCTTTACAACCAATCATAACCTTTGAATCATTCTGAGGTCTAATTTAGAATTTAACAAAATAACAACAACTAAAAACAGCACAATTATTGTAGTGAGTTGTGCAGAGAGCAAACGATCGTGTGAGAAGCACATCCATGCTGAGATGGTTCACTTAATGATACGTGAACGTAACTAGAGGCATATTTTCTACAACAATTTTGTGCGTAACTTGAAAAGTTCATGAAAATGCGCTGTTATATATTTCTTTCTTTTAGTCTTAATTGTGTAACTCTGGATTATTTCGTTGCCTTGTAGCCTTTAAAAGATAAATAAATAAAACCCCAAACTCCTCCCGCCAACCCCCATTATAATCAGCTGAAATGAACGTGATCGAGATCGGGACAACTCTAATTTCTAATGATGTGATCGTTCGATATAAGCGGGGGAGTTCAAGTGTTCTTGTTCACGAGTGAGGGCAGGATGGTACATGAGATCAACAGACATATCGGTGCAGCGTCTGCGGTGATGCGGACTCTGTATCGGTCCATTGTGGTGAAGAAGGAGCTGAGCCGAAAGGTGAAGCCTTCGATTTACCGGTCGATGCACATTCCCACTCTCACCTTTTGTCACGACCTGGAGCTCGTGACTGAAAGAAGGGCATCCTGAATACAAGCGGCCAAAATGAGTTTCCTCTGCGGGGTGTTTGGGCTCTCCCATAAACATATAGGGTGAGAAGCTCAGTCACCGTTGCTCCTCTGCATTGAAAGGAGCCAGATGAGGTGGGTCTGGCATCTGGTTTGGGTCCCGTCTGGATGCCTCCCTAATAAGGAGTTCCAGGCATGTGCCACCGCTAGGAGGCGAAGTGATGACCCAGGACATGCTGGAGAGACTATGTCTGCCGACTGGCCTGGAAAGACATTGGGATCCCGCGGACCAGTTGGAAAAAGGGGATGAGGAGAGGAAAGTATGGGCTTTCATATATTTGAGATTTATTGCACACCAAGTGAAATATTTGAGCTCTTTTATTGTTTTAATACTAATGATTTCGGCATACAGCTCATGAAAACCCAAATTCCTATCTCAAAAAATTTGCATATAATGAAAAGGTACTCTAAAGGAGCTATTAACCTAATCATCTGAATCAACACGTTAACTCTAAACACCCGCATATCATTCCTGAGGCTTTTAAAAACTCCCAGCCTGGTTCATGGTTCATAACCGCAATCATGGGTAAGACTGCTGACCTGACTGCTGTCCAGAAGGCCACCTTTGACACCCTCAAAAACAAGAGGGTAAGACACAGAAAGAAATCTCTGAGCGAATAGGCTGTTCCCAGAGTGCTGTATCAATGCACCTCTGTGGGAAGGAAAAAGTGTGGCAGAAAATGCTGCACAACCAGAAGAGGTGACAGGACCCTGAGGAAGATTGCAGAGAAGGGCCGATTCCAGACCTTGGGGGACCTGTGGAAGCAGTGGACTGAGTCTGGAGTAGAAGCATCCAGAACCACCATGCACAGGCATGTGCAGGAAATGGGTCAAGCCACTTTTGAACCAGAAACAGCGGCAGAAGCGGCACTGGACTGTTGCTCAGTGGTCCAAAGTACTTTTTTCGGATGAAAGCAAATCATTCGGAAATCAAGGTGCCAGAGTCCGGAGGAAGAGTGGGGAGAAGGAAATGCCAAAATGTCTGAAGTCTAGTGTCAAGTACTCACAGTCAGTGATGGTCTGGGGTGCAATGTCAGCTCCTGGTGTTGGTCCACTGTGTTTTATCAAGGGCAGGTTCAATGCAGCTAGCTATCGGGAAATTTTGGAGCACTTCATGTTCATGCTTCCATCTGCTGAAAAGCTTTATGGAGATGAAGATTTCATTTTTCAGCATGACCTGGCACCTGCTCATAGTGCCAAAACCACTGATAAATGGTTTAGTGACCATGGTATGACTGTGCTCAATTGGCCTGCCAACTCTCCTGACCTGAACCCCAAAGAGAATCTGTGAAGAGGAAGTTGAGAGACACCAGACCCAACACTGTGGGTGAGCTTCAGGCCGCTATCGAAGCATCCTGGACCTCCATAACACCTCAGCTGTGCCACAGGCTGATTGCCTCCATGCCACACCGCATTAAATCTGTCATTTCTGGATTCCCGACCAAGTATTGAGTGCATAACTGAACATAATTATTTGACGGTTAACTTTTTTTTTGTTTTAAAAACACTTTGTTTGATTGGTCGGATGAAATATGCAAATTTTTTGAGAGGTATTTTTGGTTTTTCCTTTATTTAAATTTTTTAATGCCAAAATCATCAATATCAAAACAATACAAGGCTTGAACTGCTTCAGTTGTGTGTAATGAATCTAAAATATATGAAAGTCTAATGTTTATCAGTACATTACAGAAAATAATGAACTTTATCACAATATGCAAATTTTTTTTAGAAGGACCTGTATAGCGACATCTGTAGTTTCTTAATTATCTACAAACTCAAAGTTGAGACGATATGTAAAAATAAATACAGAATACAACTGTAAAGAAAAACAACACAATCTTTTACAAATCCCAGTCTTTTTTTAGAGAATGTTATTGCAGGTATGCAATTCAAAATGAATGATTAGTTGCAATAAAGAATAATGATCAATCGGTTGAAACATTCTTTATTCATGTGGTGAATGTCTCTTTTAACAAATGTTTGGGGCAGTAAAATATCTACCAAGTTGTTGAGTACAGTGATCCCTCCCTTATCGCGGTTAATGGGGATCGAGACCTCCCGCAGAAAATCCCCCCCCCCCATTCAGGTATATGTACATGTGTATGAGTATATATAATATTTATAAGGCCAAATTTAACGGTATACATGCATGTAGAAGTAAATGTTTGTAGAAATTAACATTACTTCATGCTATATACTAACATACATATATCGCTGCCGCTCGCGGAACTTTTGCGGGACTTTTGTGGCATGCTTTTGAAAAATCCGCGATGCACTGGAACCACGAAGGAGCGAGGGATCACTGTGTACCGGTACTTTTTGTCATTATAATCATTGCTGTGTATCTCATCAAGTATGCAGTACTAACACGAATCATCTCTTTCAGAGGTGACTTGTCTTCTGGAAAACAGCTCAGCACTCATTCGAACTCTCGAACAAGTCAATATGTCCTTGAGGGAAGGGAGGAATCTAGACATTAGTGTTAAGACCTTGGAAGCCATTGCTGAATTCAAGGCCCAACTGGAAAGCATGCTCCAGGGAAGGAAGTGGAGAAACGCTGTGGAGCAAATATGGGCTTTCGGACCTCGCAGGTTTGGAAGTGTGTGTGTTTGTGTGTGTGTGTGTGCGTGTGCATGCGTGTGTGTGTGTTTGTGTGAGAGAGAGAGATAAAAATGGGATTGCTTGTTGTCTTTGTATGGTAAACTGGAAAAGCAGCTACGTACCTTTGCTTTATTAATTTTTTGGGGGGGTGTTTGAAATATGCCATCACTCAAGCACTTTTACAAAGACACATGAAAACATCCCTCAAAAGATGCCCTTAACTGCCCCGATTTATCTACAATGTCGCCTTAAGTTTCATGCACATGTGCACATACAGTGCCATGAAAAAGTTTTTGCCCCTTCCTGATTTCTGTTTTTTTTCTTGTTTTTTTTTGTTTTTTTGTTTTTTGCACAAAGGTTTCAAATCAATCAATTGGATTTTCTTTGTGCCTTAATAAATTGAATTTTCATTTGAAAACTGCATTTTGTATTTCCTTGGGTTGTCTCTGAGTGATATTAAAATTGGTTTGATGATTTGAAACCTTTGTGCAAAAAAAATAAAAAAAATTGAGGTAAATGCACAAAAACAAACAGGCGGGTGGCAAATACTTTTTCACGTCAGTGTAGCGATGTCTGTATGATATAAATGGCAAAAATTGAAGAATTTCATAATGTGGCCTTGAATGGGAATATGATTGAACCTGGTGCACATCATTACAAATGTCACATATCACTACATGCCATTTAAATTGAAGTACAGTACAATACAGAATGAATGGTTTTATCCTGTAACCATGCCATGCATGTTTTTGGAATGTGGGAGGAAATTGGAGAACCCAGAGAAAACCCACGCAGGCATGGGCAGACCATGCAAACTTAACACAGGAAGGCCGGAGTCGTAATCGAACCCATGACCTTTGTACTGTTAGTGCTAACCAGTCACTCACCATGCAGCCCTAAGAACAATATATGCATAAGATGAAAACAGTCAATTTATTAAAAATTTTAATAGTTTTTCCAAATGTTTTAAATTGTGTTTCCAAAACTCCCCTTTAAGAAAGCCTGATTGTGTTAGACAGATGTGCAATCATTTGTTGCTTTCAACTTGTGAATTGTGTTTTTGCTGAAGGTGCGGCCCGAACATTCTGCTTAACAAGCTGGAGGGATATCATCGGCCATCTCTGTGGCAGTGTCTATGTCGAGAAGATACATCTGGAAAAGATGGAGCTCAGGCGAAAATGATACGAGAGTTTGACAACAGCATCGTCAGTGGCTTTCAGTTAGCAACCCTGTCAGGGCCGATGTGTGAAGAGCCGCTCATGGGGGTCTGCTTCTCCATTGAAAGATGGGATCTACAGTCTTCAAACTCACCACATCAAAATGCCTTTGAAGAAAGTGGCACATTTCAAGAGGCCTTGGGAGGTAGTAAAGCCCCCGAAAGCATTAATTCATTGGAAGTGACCTCCACTGAGCCAAGTCAAGCCAAACGCTGTCAAGAGGCCACCCCCGCAGACTGCTACGGGCCCGTTTCAGGCCAGCTGATTGCCGCCATGAAGGAGGCATGCCGCCACGCTTTCCAGGCTCAGCCCCAGAGACTCATGGCTGCGATGTACACCTGTGAAATCATGGCTACCGCAGAGGTTTTGGGTAAGAGATTGGTAACTCTTTAGTCCTGAAGATCTCTGAGATCTCCAAAAAAATGTGGACACCATTTTTTGGTTGTTGTCTTAGCCTGTGTTTTCTCCACACGCAGGCAGAGTATATGGTGTTCTTGGAAAGCGTGAAGGCCGCATTCTCCATGAAGAAATGAAGGAAGGAACGGAAATATTCATCGTCAAGGCTGTCCTGCCTGTCGCTGAGAGTTTTGGCTTTGCAGATGAAATTCGCAAGAGGACCAGTGGGCTTGCCAGTCCACAAATGGTCTTCAGTCATTGGGAGGTAATTACTCAGCAAGCCCAAATACAGTTGCCAGCAAAAACGATTTGCCCCCTGTGAATTGATCTTGATTTCTGAGTACATTGGTCTAAAACAGCGGTGTTAAACTCATTTTTGTCACCGGCCACACTGTCGTGACCATTCCCTTGGAGGGCCGTTATGACTGTGAAACCATATGAAGAAGTCAGGAATAATGGTTTATTCAACTATAGTTTAAGTTACTGTAATGAGGGGTTTGGTACCAAGTAAACTTAGAATAGCTCTCTTATATATTACATTTGAGCACTTGAAATTGCGGTACAGATTTTAGCAAGCATCATAGAAGTTGCCATGTTTGATTTGCTTTCGCGGGCCACATGAAATGATGTGGTGGGCCTGGCCCCCGGGCCTTGAGTTTGACACCTGTGGTCTAAAAGGTGATCTGATCTCTAATTTGATCATCACAACAATCGTCAAAAAGTCTACTGAAACTAATCCTCACACAACAGTATGATGTCATGTTTTTTTTTTTTTTTTTTGGGTGGGGTGGGGTGGACACGCCATATAAACCAGGGGTCACCGATGTGGTGCCATCTGGCAACCCTCCAATCACCACATGGGTAGCTCACAGGCCATCTCTAAAAACAGCTTACCAGTGATGGGAAATTGTGATTGTCTCGGAAGAGTTTGTGAATGTTGATTTACAATTGAGAACACTGGCAGAGATTTAGAGAAAGTGTTGCATCGTCATATTTAGGTTTCCTAATTTAGAGTGACAAATTATAACATGATCAGTGTCTTCACCAGTGTTGGGCTAACACATTAAAAGACATTACAGGTGTATATGATGTTTAGACAGAAATCAAGTCATTAGTAAATGCCTTACTCATTATATTTTTGTAATATTATTGTAGTTACTGAGTCTGGGAACCCATTACAATCCCAGTTCTCACTAGTGATGCTGGGGAGTGATGTTAATGTCTTTGCGCTCTGCAGCAAGTGCAAAAAAGTAAAAATAAAAGAAATTTGAGTGCACTGCTGACTGCGTGCCATGGTAGGAGCTAGAACACAACAAGTCACGGAGGGACGAAGCAGAGAAGAGAGAAGGTGTAAGTGCCAGTGTTGGAGGAAAATTGGGCATCGATGTAGAGGAGGAGCTGCCAGAGAACTTGCGATCTATTTGGAGAAGTTGAATGGTATATCTGAGGCCTCCGAGAGTTTTCTCTAAAACGGGAAAACTGTTCTCTGAAAGGAGAGACCACCTCAAGCCTGGACAAGTGAGAGCACTTTGTCTTTCGCATGGTAATATGCCAGATTAGAAACCTGAGTGGCAGAAGAAAAGTACGGTACAACAGATGTTACTTTATTGCTTTCAGAGTTCATTGTTCAGTGCCAGACGTTTTCAGACCCCTCTTTATCCTACCACGTGAAAACATTGACATTGAGGTTTTTAGAGAACCCTAAAAAACATGGAGGAGACTTTTGGGCGGCTCTTCTAAGTGAACAGCTCCTCAATGAGTGGCTTCCTTCAAAGAACCATCCTCGCTAATGCTGGTTTTCTCTAAAAATCAACATTTAACCGTGACATAAACTCTAACACATTATTATTATTTATCTCATAAAAATAAGATTATTATTATCTTATTGAAATAAGACAATTGCAGCTTCTTCACAAATTCACACCTCGCACTGCAAGACATTTGCAAGAAGATTTTAGAAAACCTATTAAAACTAGCACGTATTCGGACCATTACACCAAGTTGGGTTTTTTTTTTTGTTGTTCTTTTGCTCTGTGGAAGCGGAGGAACTTGGGCCGATTCCTCCTGGAAATCAAAGTCGGGGGCATTCGAATCATTTGTTTCTTTTTTCTGATTAGATGCATAGAGTCTTTGATCAGACCTTTGTGAATCAGTCTTCCGGCAAACGGCTAATGCCATTTAGTTATTTAAAGGCTAACTAATAACTTTTCGTGTTAAAATTCAATTGCAAGACCCGTCTGGCGAGTGTGCTGACCATGCAGGAACTGGAATGATTAAACTTTATTGTGTGCTGATCCTTGCAACATGAGGCCATGCATTCTCAAGCCACATTTGGTGATGGTTGGGGATGAATAGCGCAACTAATCATCTCAGTGTAAAAGAGATTGTTGCACCGTGTGAGGCAAATAGTGTTCATGTGGTGGTTTTTCTGAAAGTCTTCGATCTCTACTCCAACAAAGACTTCATTTCATGCGGAAGCTGAAGTCCTTCAATGTCTGTGACACAATCATTTTGATCATGCTTTCATTGACAACCTTTTAATGTTTTCTTTTACCCGCTGGCACAATGGGCTGTCTGTGAGAGACAAAAACTGCTTCAACGACATTGTTAAAGTGGGCTTCAAAATGATGGAGGGTGTCGGACACAATTTAGGATGAGCGAGTCATAAAACAAATTATCAGCCTACAGGATCATGTCCTATCTGAGGAATTGTCTCGAATGCCTTCGGCCAGATGTTATAATGTGCCCCAAAGGAAAACTGAGGTACTCCGGAGTCCTTCATTTTGTCTGCTTCTAAACACAGACCAGGCTTATTTAAATGATTTTATAGGAAAGAGTATTTTATTTCGAATGTCACGACTTATTTATTTCTTTCATTATAGTTTTGTTTTTTTTT